AACAAACAAAATACAGTATACACTTGGACCTTCCTTACTGTAGAGGCACAACCACTTGCACGAAGAAGCCTTTATGGAGGTCAGACGTTCCCAACACCTCTGCGTGGGAGAGGAGGTATACAGGAGGGCCAAAAAAGACACTTCGACCGAGTCACATATCAGCGAAGTTTTCGCAGCCCAGACAGAATACGTGGATACATACAGAGGAAGGGGATACGAGTACCAGGGCGAAGATACCCAAGATGCTCCTCGATAAGCAGGAGCTGGCTCTCGCCCATCACCTTCATGTACACCAAAATATAAAGTCATCTCCAGTCGCAGCCTGACTGGAGAACGCATTTGGAATTCATGTCACCTCCAAACAGCTGCGAAACGTCTAGTGTGGAGTCACCAATGGATAGCTACCTGGAGACCAGTACTCTCGATCTGGATGACCTCCAACATCGAGCAGCTCCGACAACGTCGCTACGGTCTAGGACATCATCTTCACCACAGTCGCCAGGGCGCGGGTTGATGGTATGGACGGACGTACCGGAATGGAAAGACCGATATTTTCTTCGTGGACCCGGACTGAAGGTGAGCGCTGGCGCTTACATCGAGCAACTCGAGAAGAATATCATCCCTACGTGTCATCGCCCCTAGCTTCTTGGAAACTTTGTACTGCTAGACACCACATGAAATCGGAGGGCGTTCAAAAAACTCTCGCCTACTTGTAATGGAAGAGGGTTGAGTACCTGAAGAAGATGGAATATCTGAGCAGGTCATCTGAACTAAACCCCCTCATTAACTGGTTCGGATGGAGTTCAGTAGGGTGGTTTACAGTGGCGGAGAAATCAACGACTCGCTGAATTTAGGTACCCACTCACGATCGCGTGGCAGAATCTTTCGATGGCTCTCCTTCAGAAGGCTGTGGTGGAGTATCATGATAGTAATATGCTCTTTGATATAGTAGTAGAAATGTCCGATCAGAATTTAATAGGGTGTAACTTATAGCGCCTTGGAAGTCAACGAAGAAAAGAAAGAAGTGTCTTTTTTGGGCTCCCCCTGTATGAATATTACTACGCTGGAGATATGGATTTTTCGCGTTATCCGGAACTTGTCGCGACAAAATCACAACGGAGAAATTTGTTGAATAGTGGGCGTTAGGGAAAAAAATTGAGGTGCTTCTTTGGAAAGAGATTCTCCTAGACTCCCGCAATGTTTTCGGTTTTTAGAGATGACGTCTGAAGAAAAGTATGGCTGTCCCAAGAAGCAAACCCGTAGGCGACCCTAAAATGGAACAACGACGCCGTTAAATTATGCAGAAACGATATGACGGTTACTGGGAATACCCGAATTCTGAGAAGTTCGTTAAAACGACAACGAGAACTCAATATAAAAAATACAACCTGAAACGATCATTAAGATACACGAAAAGGGAGGAGGCAGGAACTCACGGAACGTAATCTGGATGATCGTGGGGCGGGAGTATCCTTTTCTCCCCGAGATCGGGGTTCTCAAACAACGCAATTTCTTGGAGGGAGAAGTCCCTCCGAGGCAGAACAAAATAAAATCCAGAAAATCCCCTCTTGTAAAGGAGTTGATTGCGGGCGTTGGCGTCGTCCTCGTGGTTGGCACTGCGAGAGCAAAGGTAACAAATGATAACAGAAGACGTCGAGGGTTCCCTCGGCGGGGGTAGACGAAGGAACTTCTAAAAAAGATTTACTTTCTCGGCTTCGGCTGAGTATCTGCCTACATATATTATCTTCGCGCCATTTTTCGCGGCCTGTGCACTTCTCCAGTGATCACCCTCACGCGCCGCCATCCATCCATCCATTATCCCCTTACAATCTGGGGCCTCGTCCCTGCACCGCCGGAGTTCCTGGCGGTTTCAACGACCTTGGCATCCTGATGGACTCCAAATCCAGTCCGTGCGCGTGGTGCTGGTTGACAAGTGGTGTAGAATACCAAAGCCCACCACCTGCGCGGGTCCTTTACCACTCCGACACTGGGTGACTGACTAGCCAAATGTCCGGGAACATGTGATCTCGCTTTCAGGTACATACGCGACTACGTGCCGTCCTCGAAACGCGGCCCATTAACTATCCAGACATGAGCCCCACTGCGCATTCATAGGTCAACTGCTCCCACAAAGGGTATCCACGAGTACTGGCCGTCTGGCTCCTTCTGTGGGCAGTATCAGCACTGCGTTTCCGACTTCATAAGAAGGAGTTTTTGCTCCTCTCGATTTCTTGAATGGAGCGGTAATAGAAGAAGATGGTCTTAGGATCTTGGGGCAGGAAGTTAGCTTTCTGAGCACCTCGGAATTACGACAACAACTCTTCTATGCTCGCTGGTTTTCCCCGACCTCATTTACGACGGTTGTCCAGTCCAGTTTATGGTTGATACTTCATCCATGGCCATCCTTTGAGCATCAAATGACTGAACTTCGCACCGATGGGTACCATGCTATTAGCTAGAATGGCTACATTGGTACAGCGACTACGAGAGAACGCATATGTCATGCCAACGGACTTGGGGTTGATAGCTAAGTACGAGTTATCGCGAATGCGTTGAAGTTTTGCCGAAATTGACCCGGCACCCCACCTTAGCCAAACGTGGGCAGTATGGAAGAATACACCCCCACCTCTCGTCTGCGGCTGGCTGGGGGACAACTGGGAGGAGATCGCGAACGAAAATGTTTTGGCGAATACGACAGCCGGTAACGGACTTCCGAATCCATGTGCGGAAAATTTTGCCCATCGCAGTTGAACAACATGTGCAGGAAGTGCATATCGTCAATCACTCGTACGCGTCCTCGAGCCTGAAATCGATGCATTGATTCATGATGTTTGAGCTTTACCCCGTGATTGTTTCTTTTTTCACGCTCAATCTTCGCCTTTTTTTTCGCTCGCTTCGACAACTCTGTATGGTCCATCCCCCTCGCAGCCAATTTGGGGTATTTCGTGCGGCTCCCCTTGCCGCCTTTAAACAAGAATGACTCGCTAACATTCTTATCATCATAATTCTTTTTCATTTATTCTCTATACTTCTCCGTCTGCTGATACACTTCCTCTCTTGAGCCACGGATACGTTCTGTTTTATAAACATCCAGATCGACTGACTAAATCGAACCTTACTCTCTGGTAGTCCATTCCGTGGAATTACTAGGTCAAACCCGTACAACCGAAAGAATGGACTTTCACCTGTCGCTGTATGCAGCGTTACATTGTATGCTGAGACCGCATTCGAAAGTATTACATCTCACGGTTCAGGAAACCGTATTTCTTTCTCAGTATTCTATGTAGGGTCCCTATTGCTCGTGCAGCGCTATTCTCCCGCGTGTCATTCCTTTCGCAACTGTGTGTTCAACCCGAAAGATCCTTGTGAGTTCACTAATTACCTCGTTCACGAACTCTGTACTCTGATCCGTGTGTAGCTGTTAGGCCGCCTCCTCTACACACCCATCTTTGGAATAACACCTGCGCAAACGAGGCTGCCCCTTCGTCTTCCATTGGATACGCAGTTAGCCACTTGAGAAGTGATCAACTAATACCAGTATGTATTTCATCCCACTGGTGTCAAGACCCATTACCCAAATATCAGCACAAACACAGTCAAAAGATGTACTAGCTACAAATGGCTTCAACGATGGGGTACTTGTCGGCCGCGGATGTCCTCGTCGCAAAGTGGGTGCGAGCTTGCTGGGAAGCATTCCCTGCCACCTCGCACCCAGTTTGCGACGTCTTTCTGCATAATTCCCAAAAACTGATTTTTTTTAGTATTTGACACATTTTCTTAGCCGGGAAATGTCCCACCAGGCATCCCTTATGCACCTCGCCAAACACTTTTTTCCTTTCTTACTTCGGTACTACGGGCACTGCCGTCCCGTCTTCTCGGAGCAAGTTTAAAACGCCTTGCTCTACAACAAAATCAAAGTCGACTGCTGTGAGCCAGTTGGTCATGCCAGGAAATTTCACCTCTTTATCCAGTTTATTCGCTCTTTGTGACGCGCTGTAATCCTTATCATTTTCCAGCTTTTAACCAATTTAGCCTCCCTGCCTCACGCACACTACACACAATTTTGTCTTCTTCCAGGCTTACTATTTCCTCCGCCTTAACACCAGGGATTTGCGACAGCATTTGCCTTGCCTTTCACAGGTTCTATGCTTTACTTGTACTGCTGCACCTCCAAAGCCCACCTTAGCCCCTTTGCGGAAACATTTTGCCTCTTGAAGAACACGGTGAGCGGCAAATGATGTCGTTCTTACCACTACATGCCTACCATATACAAAGTAGTGTGGCTTCCTCACCGCTATTACAGTAGCTAGCGCCTCTAAGTCGGTTTTGTGGTGATATCTCGGCTCTCGACAGCTTCATCGACACAAAACAGGTGTAAGAATCCGTCGAACCGTTCTTGTGATAATACTGCTCCTACTCCGACCCTGGAAGCATCCGTGTATAGTATGAATGGTCGCTCTTCACTTGGTGCTGCCCCCACGTCGAGTTGTGCTAGTGGCGGCGGCCTTATGAGGCGAGCTTTCAGCTCTTGGAACGCCTCTTCGTGAGCACTTTGCCACTGCCATTGTAATTTGCTACTAGTCAACTCAAAGAACAGCCGAAGAGTACTAGAGACGTACTAGAGTACGAGAGTACGACGCCCCCAGTCTTAAAAAATTGCGCAGAGGTTACCCTCTAAGGTGGGGTTGCAAGCACCGACTTTCTCGTCCGAGAAACTAAACTCACACTCTGAAGGCGTCGCGGCACAATCAGCACACCAACTCCTTAGCAACGCGTGAGCCAACCACCCAAGGCTTTCGCGAAGGGATCGCCAAACACCCAAAACAACGAACGAACGAACGAAGGAGAAGAAAAGAAAAAAAACGGTACGGAGGAGCCTACTCGAGTATACTCTACGAGTGGTGGCTTAGCCCCCAAGTTAGGTTATGTAGAAACGATATAATGGGTACTGACCACTCCTTAGGAATACCGGAATACTGAGACTCTAAAGTTTATCAAAAATGCAAAGAACTCAATATCACCATAAAAAATACACCCTGAAACGATTATTAAGGTACACAGAAAAGGGAGGGGGCAGGAACTCCCGGAGCGCAATCTGGATGATGGTGGGGCGGGAGTATCCATTTCGCCGCAAAATTGGGGCTCTCAAACAGCGCAATCTTTCAGGAGATGTCCCACCAAGGCAGAACAAAAGAAAATCCAGAAAATCCCCCTCGGTGAACCGCGTTGATTGCGGGCGTCCGCGTCATCCTCACAGTTGGCACTGCGAGAAAAAAAGTAAAAAAGGATAAAAGAAGACGTGGCGGGCTCCCAGGCAGGGGGTAGACGAAGGAGCTCCTGAAAAAGAGAAACCTTTTTCTGAGTGCCTACATATATTACTCTGGCGCCTTTTTTCGCGGCTGCGTACTTCTGTGACCGCACTCACTCGCCGCTACCGTATGCCAAAATGGGGCGCGTAATAACACGCGCCTTTTCTAACGGCCACAAGAGGGAAAGCTCCTGAGAAAAAGGATTAGAAATTTGAAACAGCTCCAGCGCAGCTAATAACTACAAACCTAGAACTTCACAACCCTACTTTCCCTGTCTAGAAACTCCCTCTCAAAAAAGCTACTCGTGGAGATCCTGGCCCATATCGCGAAACAGCTCGCTCTGGTGCAGCAGTGAGTGAGCGATTTGAATGCTCACGTGCAATCTCTTAATGTGCGCGAACATTTAAAATTCAAATAACCTGTTCCATAGCACCTACGTTTTTTTGGGAGGGAGAGGTGGTCATTGCGAGAGCCGCTTTCGGAGGGAGGCGAGAGGGAGGGGTCCTATCCAGCAGGGTGGTCAAAACGCGATGACATGCCCTAAGTGTAGGAACTATGTCTCTGCGGCGCACAGTGGGGTGGAAAGGTCTGCGGAATCGAAGAGTTGGGCGCAGAGCGGATGTTCTCTGCCTTCTTCGCTGCTCTTACGGTATCATTCAATCCTTCCCAAGCCGCCTCTTTCCTTCTAGTCAGAATGTCCCTGATATCGATTTTCCGACCTCAATGCACATGGCTAGAGCATTCAGAGATGTTTATTCGGCGAGAGTGGAGCATCAAGAACCATTCCTTTTTTCATAAAGATCCTTTTCGTCAGGTTTGAGTTCAGGCAGACCTTTCCACACGCAGTCGAAATCTGCCGGCATTCAATCTGCATGGCGATGTCGGGTGTTATAGGAACAGTTAATGGTTTGGGTTGTCATGCATACAGTACCCTCGGATTGCGCGTGGGATTAATTGTGTTGGTCTTAAATGCACACTTAATTGTGTTGGTCGTAAATGCACACAGCGGGGCGCGAGATTGTGTGGCCTAGGTGTTTCGGGCGTGGGATACTGTGGCTTAGCCGCGCGGGCACCTGCCGGGGTCGGGCGGGTCGCTATCCTGGCGTCAATGCCACGGCGCGCTTGGGTTGGGGTTGAAGATGAAGCGTACTTTAGCCGGGTTTGCAAAAGCAGTATAATACGAGCTGTCAAACGCATCTCAAGCTTGGGTAACTAAACCGGGTTACAGTACGTCCGATTGTGTGCGTTCACGACGCAGCATTTTTGACTTCACGCGCATTTTTAACGCAGCCTAACAACCTGAACTGATAATTTTGTTATGAGGACGATGTCGTCAGCAACGCAGGCATGGTGTAGTTGCCAGACGTCGGTCTTAGCTCCCATGTTTCCACGTTCCCGGTAACGCTCACATACAGTCGTCATCCTTGCACTTGATAGGGGCGTGTCGGCGAGAAGGAGCGTGCACACTGTTTGAAGCCTTCTAGTCCTTTTCGTTGAAACGCGTATGCGAACAAAAAAGTGATAGAAAACGAGTAACACGAAGGATATAATACAGTAATGTCACTCTCTGGTTCAGCGATTGGTGCAGTACGGGTGCTGACGACCGCGCCGCACGCAGCCGCACTGACATTGACTATCAAGTGCGAGGATGACGACTGTACATTTGATGGCGAAGAAGCTTTTTTCATCTCAATAGTTCCTGGGCTCATTTCCTATGAAACTAGAAGACCTGGTTCCGCGCTAATTATTTTATTCACAATTTTTCACTTGTTCTCACCTATCCATTTCCAGTGAATCAGTAGCGGTGAAAATAAAATAGGTTTATTGTTCAGATTGGAAGATTTGCCAAGACTTCCTAAGATAATTATAAAACTTCCTCGACGTTCTAACGAAAACGATTACGATACTAGAAAGAAGAGAAAGAAGCGGAGAAGGAGGGAGTGTGATGGTGAATGGGAGGAAAGTGACTGCTCCAAAAGGAAGCGAACCAATCGAGGGAAAGAATGTTCTGGGTAGTTTTTTACTTTTCTGTTCTTTTTACGAATCTTGCGTTTCTATCGGGAGAAGAGTTTTTTAGATATAAAATACGCATTGTGGAGCGATCTCACGACGGGGAACGCAGAAGGGACCAAACCGAGGAGGAACGGATAGATTTAAGAATGCTCTCGAAAAAACGTCGATTAATGATGCAATGGCAGGAAGGACAGGAGTATCAAAACCATGAAGGTGGTAATTAGCTCCAACATTTTGTTATAACTACTTTTCGAGTGATTGAATATGATGATGATCAAGTCACCAGTATCACTGAGTTTCCGCAAATATAACCACCATTTGGCCCACACAACACTCTCAGCGGTTGTAGGTCTTGGATTGCCGGAGAAACGTTTTTCTACCTTTCTTCCATATGTGTTGCGTGAGTGTCCTCTCAGCACACATCGTTGTGCAATTGCTACCTACTTCTAGTGGCTATTAGTCAACATTTTCACTTTCCATAAACATACTTATTCTGTGTCATTGCTGATAGCTGTTATACGTAGAACAACTGGGTGTCGGCTGGAAAGTGCGATAACTAAATACTCAGTAAGGATTAACTGGATACTGAGAAAGTACGAATGATTATCTCACATGACGGTGATCGCGCTCACCCGCTCACGAGAAAATGTCAGCGATGCCGAACCTTGATCCGAGAGAAGATTTTTTTAAAGACAAGCTACAGATTAAACTTCAAGTGCTGGTCCTTGCTGTTTATGGGGTGAATAGGTCGGCAGCTGCATTACCATGCTAATTTCATCGCACGCACGGGAACGAGAGTGCAGTGTAGCGATATCCGACTCCCGTCTCCTTACTTCGCGCGCTGCTGCACCGCCGGCCGCACGCGGCGAAGCGCGCTACTTGTCTGCGATTCAATACTTCTCTACAGCTAGTACTTGTTTCGCTGTAGGTCCTTGGTATTGACGCAAGTACTACCACGTTGAGGATAGCTGGGGCGGATTCTGGTGACGGTACGCTGGTGTTACTGCCCTGAATCCCCGTTCCCGGCCCTTCGAGAGAAGAAAGTGGTTCGCTACTGCAGCTACGAGCTCATTCACTTCGCACATGGAAATGACCGTCCCTGAAGACGAGTGTACACTTTGTCTTTAACAGCGGAAAGTGTCTCCCTACAGTCCAACTCTACACAGTGGATTTTCCAATGTGGGGTTACATAGGTATTACGATAAATAAGAAAATAACTAATGAGGGCACTTCGCACCTATCATACCTCTTGGGAGACTTGCCCGTGGGGTTGCCTCACTTAATCGCTCTCTCGCACTTCTGACCTCTCGTTAACAGACACGACTGGGCCAAACTTAACATGGAAAGTAGAAGACAAAAATAAGAGTAAGCGAAGGAAATGTCAGAAAAGAAGATGCTTTGATAAATTTAAAATGTTAAGAGCACACTCAAAAGAATGTAATGGAGACGTGCACAACATGACCCTACTACAGTTTGAATGGGAAAAAGGGCATGTATCGAAAAAATTCCTTTGTTTTCACAAGGGGCTATCCCAAATGATCTGATCTTTGAAATATTGTAGAAAATGTCTAGATTTGTTACCAACAGTACCATCTGACCAGGAAAGGTCAACAGGTCGCCATGGCCATTCAGGATGAGATGCATATTGCCGTGTGCGTCTTGGGGCACTGGACTCAAATCTGGTTTCAGAATTTGCTGAGCGATCCTCTAGGAGGAGTTAGGGGGGGGAGTCGTTCTAGCATAGCACTCGCCGATCCTCCTTTGCGTAGCTCAAGTTAAGTTCGAATACATACAGTCCCAACTGTTCGATGGTGTAGTGGATAGGTGGGCTGTTTCATATATGAGAGATCATGGGTTCGGTTCCTTGACAAGCTCGCGTTTTTGCATTCTTTCGGAACATCTCTGCGAGTCCAGAGAATACTTCTTTCCGTTATTTTGTCATGCTTGCTCTTGCTTGCAGCAGAAAAAGATTTAAGTGCCGGCAATTGTGCTTCCCTTTCAAGACTTTTGGGCAGTATTCACCCTTTACTGCCCAAATCACCCGAAATCAGGCCAGTTTTTGACCGACTTTTTTCTCCGTGAGCAGAATTGGCTGAAAAGTTGCCTACTAGGGCAGTCTGCACTACTGAACATGATTATCACAAGTGCTCGGCACGAAACATCCGTGCCACAGGCGTCAGTGTCAAAATACCCTAAATCGCAAAGTTCGCTGGAAACTTGTCATCTGGGGTAGTTTGACCTCCTGGACACAGAAATCCCATTAGCTGAGCCCGGAAATGCCTGGCGCCGGCGCCAATACTCGAACCACCATAATCATTAAACTTTTCAACTGGAGCAGTTTGACCTTCTAAACACGAGCATCATATCCGCGTGGGGCGTTGAGAATGTTTGGGATAAAGAAAAACGGTAATGTAATTACGGTAATGTAACCTGCGTCAGCACCCCTCCTCATGAGGCCCTTCCTCTGTATGGCTGAGCCTTAGCAAGAGAAGGATCTCTGTGACAGGCAACTAGGAAGAGTAGTGCGTTACTTCGACCAGTTTGCCCAATTGCCCTAGCACAGAGCCCCGCAATAAAGCGACCGGAGTCTGCGCTACACCCCCGGACTAAGAACAAGCATGTGATGGGTCGCTTGTGGCGTACGCGTCAGGCGTTTCAG